CATTTTGAAATATAAGGTCTGTACTCACATCATAGCTACACAGTCCTTGAGGGGACAAAACACACACACACACACACACACACACACACACTGAAAAAATAATGTTTATGACCTTTAAGCACACTGGTAAGGGGGGGGGAGGATAGCAGAGAAGTGAAGCGAATTCTTCTTTAAGATAGCCACGGCATAAAAACGACAAAGCAAGCACTTTGAAAAGTACAGACAGTGTCAGCTTATCCTGCCGTACGCCAGGTGCTATCCAAGGACTTCCGGCCAATTAAATACCTGGAGGGAACAGAGCTGATACCAACCGAACGATAAGCCAAGGGGGTCCCATGAGCAAATAATAAGAGGATACTGAGGAGTTTAATTGTTAGGTCTCTGTTAGTAGCTTGATTGTTAAGTAATGTTGGCGTATACCATTGCATAGTTATTACAAGGGAAAAAATGAAATGATTCTTCATTGGCAAAACACATTAGTGTTTTTTTTTCCCTCCACATATCCCATCATGCTTTGCTTTCTTGAGACATAAACAGTTGAGAGAAAGTTTGCGGTCCAAGTACAGGGTCAGCCATTTATCTGGTGCCCTTGGAGCTAAGAGCCACGCTTATGGGTCCAATGCAGATGTGACTATTCAGCTGAGGCCAGGACTTGAACTGACAGTGATCCGAGCCCAGGCAGGCAGACCTAACCCCCCGAGCCTACCCCCCCGAGCCTACCCCCCCGAGCCATGCACCATTTCCTCATTTGTCTACGCTTATTTATTTAGTAGCCACTTTTGTCCAATGCAACAGTCAGTATATACAGAAGTATGTATCTCTTGGTAAGTTTTCTTTTACCATTTTTTGGTTTCCGTTTTGGTTTGTAATGCGTCAGGCATTACAAGGACAGCTAAAGACTAAACATTTCACCTTAGCACATCAATGAACGGACGAGCGATCACTGACTGGCGGCAAGTGAATCAAAATAAGCATCTATGTATTCTTGTATAAAAGGGGTGTTGTGACCAAGGAATGTGTTTCGCTGTATTGCCCTGTACACATTTGTCTGCGCACACATATGCATGCGAGAGATCTGTAGGGGATCGATGCCTCCTGACCTCACTCGCTACCAGGATACCTTCATTCATTCCTCATTTACTTCCATTCAACTGAATTCAATTGAAACATTTGAACATTTTGCATCTGAAATACTTGATAGATCGCAACAGCCTGCAGTAGTTAATCATTCAGCCCAGAGATGGTTTCATGGCCTGCAACCCCCCTGCCCCCCCCCAAAAGCCACTCGGTCTCTCTGAGGCCCCGATTCGTCTGCTTTAAGTGAAATCACTCAATTCTAAAAAGTCAGTAGAGGACTTTGGAAGGGGGAGGGTCAGGAGAGGGCCACCTCCAAATAAGTTCCATTAATCACGGCCTGGAGTCTAATGTGACTAATACTTTACAATTAGAGGAGACAAGACGGAGCTAAAAGCCATCTATCTCTCTTACACTACATGATCATCGATTCATAATCCAGAGCCTGTGAGCGGCGCACAAAAAAATGCATTCATCAGAGAGGGGATTTGGTAAGGGCGGGGGTGTGTTTGTGTGGTTTCGGTGTGTGTGCATGTTCTCTGGAAGCCCAGCCGTGGGGGTGTAGGCCAGAGTGTATCCAGGGTGTATGGGGGGGGGGGGGGGGTACTGAATCTGGAAATAATGACCATGTCGAGAGAGCGTGGCAGAAGAAAGCAGCCAGCAATGGGCGGGCAACTCAATGGTGACGGATGGCTCAGGGCTGACCATTGATACCCCACAGACAGGGAGTGATGGCCAGCTCTCCTTCTCCAACACGGCCATCCACTATTATCTCCCCTGAGCGATGGGGATCCAGGTCCTCCCAGTCACCACTCTGCTCCCACGTCCGCCCACCGCCGCGAACAGAAGACCTGCCCAATCCCACTCAAACCGCCCTTGCTTTCCTCCTCTCTTCGCAGCCTCTATTCTCTCAATAAGACTAACATTGCAGTAGGTTTGAGACCCCAAAACGCCATCTCTCTATCTGCCCACCCCCTCCCTATCCCTCTTTACATCCCTCTTTTTCTATCTCAGTAATCAGACGCTATCCATCTAAAGAAACGCACTGAGATCTGGCCGCAGACCTGTGACTCGAGCGCCACTTCCTGTTTCGTTTATCTTCACTTCCCCTCCACCTGACTTTCATTCCACCCCCACCCCCCCATACAAGCCCCAACAGGTAAACGGCACGATAAACTTCATTCCTTCAGGCCTGGTGAACCCAGTAGAAATGCCCGTTACACAGCTGGCAATGCGGGGCTGTTCCATTCATTTTTCATAAAGTTGCAGACGCTGCCGTTATAAAGAGCAGCCGCATGACTGCCGGGCAGCAGATCACAGCGTTCATGAAGCATCGCTACATTAATGCACAGCAGCAATGCCTGCGACTGGAAAACGAATTGGCTGAGTGACAACATTACCAAATGTGGATCTCTCCATGAAATCGCACATTAGACATTTCAAATGAAACTGCTACCCAAGCGAGCTTAGGAGAAGAGTCCTTTGTTCTGAAAATAGCCCCTATAATCCTTTCCATTAGCAGAATTATTTAATATTGGGATGGAAGTGTATTCACATATTTGCACAGCGTTCTTTGTGGAGACTTGAAACTTATTCTATTGCAACTGATGCTTAACGACGCTTCTACAAAGCAGATGGAAATCGATGATTAATCACGTTTTCAGTTTTATGTGGAAAAAAATAAACATATATATATATTCTAATTGTGTGTTTTTCAAGAATTCTTCATATTCTCAAAAATATATACCTTAACACAGACATTAACATTAACATGGTTAATTTACATGCATCTTTAGTTGGAAAAAAATAGTTTCACCACAATAGTTATGGAAATACAGCGTAAAGCATAAAACCTAGAGAAAATAGAAAACCTATAGACAGTAAGCTGGTCTCTATCGCCCCCTCGTGATGAAGGGAGGAAGTGCAGTTCAGAAGCCGCAATGCAAAAGCGAAATACAGCTGAAGCACATGATCAGGTTCAGCTGGGGGTCACCATCTGCCTGGTTACAACTGTTATGCTGGGACACATGGACTGAGCCTCACTGTCATATTAAACACATCAATCGATGCCAAACTGTATGAAGAGGGAGGGTGATGCATTCTGGCTATAGAAACAACAACGTGTTTGCTTTGGAAAATATATACACATAAAGATCATTAGTACAGTGTTCCTTTATAAAATCCAAGACGCAACTAAAAAGGAACTCAAACTATCAAATCAACCAATGTAATTTTAATTCATTAACACAAGCAGACACACAAACATGCGCAAAAACCAAAGGTTGGCATAGTGTTACCTGAGTTTTAGCCTTATGATTTACTCGTAAATAAGGAGGCCTCATCAGATGCTGAGTGAAGTTGTTTGTACAGTAATAATATGGTATTTCGAAAAGTGTAATCAAACGTATACTCCCAACAAAAAAGAGTAAAAGTTTTACTTTTTCAAGAAGTAAGTTTTATTGGAAACACATTCTAATATTATATGTGACTCACATCTGGTTTTGCGTGTCTGAAAATTAGCCAGGCGTTAACCTCCGACTTTATCGTTTAACTTCACAGCGCTGTCAACGGTGTTCCGTTAACAGAAGGGTGTGTTTCATCAGCTGCGGCTGGATGAAATGTCAGTCCGTTTCGGCCATGCTAACCTGGAGTAAAGCTAAATGCAAGTAAACCAGCAGTGACCGCACACAGAGTACCGTACATATGTCATACGAGTGTCTATACTGTTCGCTTTATAACAGTGGTATGTGCAAGTTACAATATGCTATGCCACTGGCGTATCAAAAGGTTTGTGCGGAATGTCTTCTGGGTTATTCACATAAAGGAGGGCTCTGTTCTTCAGTTTCATGGCTGTCGACTTTGAATGAAACATTATGCTTGTGAGCATCTCAGGGGGGAAGCAGAGAAATATTTCTGCCTGACAAGTAAGCGCTGTTATGACAGACCACCTTCATCAACAGATATAACACATTAAGAAGAGGCCTTTTAAGTATTAGAGTATTATTAGTAATTAAAGATATATATATATATTATTTTATTTTTTTTGCATTAATGTACACCACAAAACAATTTCATTATAGGACCATGCAATTGTCATTTTCTGTTCCTTAACAAAAAGTTAAAACCCTTAATATGACTTTGCATATTTCTGCATAATCCATCAAATAAAGACCCATGAAAGGATAATCAAGAATACTGTTTTTTGCAGTCCAGGCCATATGTGAAACACATCTCTGTACAGTAAGTACCTCCTTTCTGTGTCATACTCAACTGCTTTTCATTAACACTGGTGATACATACACAACACATTCACATGCACACATAAAATGCTAAAAAAAATTTGTTACACAGACATTTACACTATATTGCTTTATTTATTTTAGATTTTATATTGTTACGTTTGTATATTTTGTTGCATCTGTGAAATACCCCTTTCCGCAGTTAATACCATGTTGCCAGAAGATGGCAGTATTGATGCAGCATTACTGCAATCGGAATCGAACCACATGCTACAGTACGCCAGTCAACATGGACTAAATAATTCCACTTATTCACATTCACAAAACCTAAGCACAAATGGATGAACACCTAATTCATGAATCTAGCAGTCCAACAGCTCTGGTTTTGACAAATAACCCCAGAGAATTCACACCCAGGGTGCATCACTATCTTATGAGCTATGCTACGTGGAATAAGCTTCCCCTGGCTACCTGGACCAGGAAAAGTTGTTGGAAAATGGATGGAGAGATGGATGAATGGGTTGTACAAAGTAGCAAAGTGATTCCTCAAAATCCTAGCAATGCAATTTAATTAATAGGATCATATCTAATCATAATGAGAGAAATGTCCTGTAAACCGCTCTGGGTGTCTTACAGTCAGCGACTGGGCTCTGTGTTGTGTACCAATGGCAAAATAAATAGACATGGTTTGAAAGCACTTTTTTATTGCAAGTACAGTTTTCATAGTAACAAAAGGAAAGCGCTGCCATTAAACTTGTACTGCCATGATAATACAACAGAGTTTACAAGTCACAAATCTTCCTGGAATGTGAAATGCACTGAAATCCATTTAGTTAGTGCCGAATAGACAGCCCTCCTGGGTAAACAAAATAAACCGAGCACTGGACGTCATTTTTAGACGTTTTTTTTTTTTAAATAACAAAAAAGAAACAAGGGAAAAATGGATGTTAGTGGGTCGTCACACCACCGCAATCCCCGAATCCAATGCCTGACCGAAGGTACCGTTTTTAAACATTATTATGATCATTATTATATGTGTTATGCATCAATTAATTACACGGTGATTTTGGCAACTTTAAAGGCAAATAATACTAAGTTCATTCAAAGGTCATTATGGAGAAAAACCTCTGCGCATCAACAGAAAGGGAAACAAAATAATTGATTATGATTTCAGCAGGATATCTCACCTTAACACATGACAGACTGTGTGTGATCTGATGTGCATCACTGACATTCATATAACAAAGTCTTTATCAAAGCCATACAATACCTAAACTTCAATATGCAAAGAGATTTAGGACTGTACAGACTGAAGAAAACTGACTGGGGTGGGGGGTGTTCCACAGGAAACAGACACTTTTTCCACAATTTCAAGTGACACACAAACACGCATTTATTTATTTTTTAGTTCATTCGATAAGTACTGCTATATTTGTTAAAACCAATATTTCATGAAAACAATCACAGTGCAAAATACCTTCGTAAATTAAAAATTCCTCTATGCTAAATGAATCATGGGTATATTCTCACAGCACGTGAAAAGATTGTCAAAAGTGTTTATGTAAAAGGCAAAAAGTACAGTACTTGAAAAACAACCCATTCTAAATGCTAAATCTAAATCAGCTACTTTTGTAGATGTTACAGAGTATTGTTGTATCTAAGGCTAAACAATAACTACATTCTTTTTAATTTTGTATTCCTTTTTCATGTTATATATTTTTATTACATCAAACCATATCAGTAGTGAGTGATACTTTGCAACATTGACAGGTGGCAATATTTCATAAACATTTCAACCACTATAGTCCTTTAAGTCAACAAGATAAATGTAAATAAAAAAAAACAATATTTTCTCACATTCTTTTATTTTTCTATATATCTACCTATTTTGGATACAATTCTGTAAACTAATGACAGTTACTTTAGCAATTTTTGCAACATTCAAAATGTTGTTCTTTTTCTCTTTAATTAATTATTTGTTTATACATTTAGCTCTTTGAGAACTCGGAGAAAATCAACGGCAAGTATGACACTCATGCTTAACTCGCAGAGTGCTCCATCACACCTTCCATACTGTATATATCTGTTGTCCTTAGTCTCCACAAAAAAGTGCAACTGACCAATTGAATGAACTTACTGTAACAGCTACCATAACAGACCTGGACATTATTTCAATGACCCTGTTCTGTAAACAACTAGATTGTCAGCTAACATACATGAAACTCTGGCAGATACAAATGGAACGTAATTTTAAAACAGCCCAAAAACTGCATTCCAGTTAAAGAACATGGTCTCCCTCAGAAGTCTGTACTGCATTGCTAAGCTGCTACAGAGCTACGGCTCAGAGAAGCTTTTTTTTTATATCATAAGTGAGTTCTGTTTAGCTACTGGGCAGCAAGTGGAGTGGTAATTAAAGGACTCAAACCAGTTATCTGTAGTTTAAAGTCCCAAACAGAGTCCTGTACTCACTCTGGTACAGTACCACTGAGTCTTGTACTCACTCTGGTACAGTACCACTGAGTCTTGTACTCACTCTGGTACAGTACCACAGAGGTACTTCACCTGAATCACAGTAGTAAAATTTCCAGCTACTGTATATGAATGGGCATAGTGTACAACTGTAATTTGTGTAATCTTTAGATAAAATCATCTTGTCCTTCGATAATTTAATGTAAATAACTCTTTACTGAGAAGAATGGCTACATCATGAGCTCTAGTACCAAAGAGAGTGACGAGCTGCTGCACTGTAATATCTAGTAACCCTGGAGTGCTGAAGAACGTGCTGCCTGCAATTCCTGGTGAAGTGCTGCCAAAGTGAAAGAGCTTCCCACCTGGCACAGTGCTGATCTGAGGCGTATTTGACCAGGCGAGAGCAAAGTCTAGCCGCAGGTAAGATCAGTCAGGAGGAATGTAAAGTTGAACGAATAGCCAGTCAACAGCGTGAAGACATGCTCGCGCACACACACACACAGAGCTCAGAAAGTTGACAGAAAAGCATTGCATTTGAAAGATTCGCTTTGCATCCCACAACTGACAAAATCAGGTTTTCAGTGTTTCATACTGTTCCTTCATTTCTTGACTGGTAACTGACAGAAGCTCTCTCCAGCTGGGCCTTATGGTGTGTTCAGGGGCTGCATTCTCTGTAGTGGTGCACTAGCCTTTAAGAGAGTCTTCCATCTCACTGTCACCTAGGTTACATTCCTGGACCAGCATGGGGGCAGAGACTTGAGGGTCTTCCTCCTCCTGTTCTACCCAATGAGGAACTACAGTTTAAAGAAAAAATGCAGATTAACACTACATGGCTTACGGGCAGACGCAGAAAAAAGCTAGACATCAGGCAAAATTTGGTTCCACTGGAAAACAATGTCATTTTAACAAGACTGTTGTGCTTTGTGTTTTCCATTCATTCAATGCCAAACCCAACTTATCAACCAACAGTAATGCTGGTATTCTGATTTGTCAACAGAAAGACTTTTACAATGGAACCAAAATGCTGCTTTACAGAATTTTATTTTGCTTAAATGTAAACAAAATGACATTCAAATGACATTCAAATGACGGGGGTTATTGTGAACAGTCATAGGATAATCTAAGAAATTTAACTATGTAATGTGTAAGACACACATTCAGTGATATATATATATATATATATATATATATATATACAGTATATATATATATATTTTTTTTTTCTTTCAAAACTCTTTTCCCAAGCAAGTTTAGATTTCATGGAATAAAACTTATTGTAATTTCATCAATGATATTCAAAACACACTAATATTCCAATCTGCAGTATTATTTAAAAGCTAATTTAAAAATGAAGTACATAAAATGTCCATGAATACTGCACTACAATTCTTTTGTGTAAGTTACAAGGCCAAAATAAAACACATTTACGTATCTGAGTAGTCTTTGAAGAATTACATTAAATGGAAATTCAAATAATAATCCTTTGATTTTTATCAATTATAGCAATATGCAATGTGCTTTCAAGTGATTAAAATGGCAAAATAAATTGTATAAACATTTATTAGCTTGTATAATTGTATTAACATTTATTTATATAAAGTTATTAGCATGATACATTAACATCAGAAGTAAATATTTTCAGTTTGACTCAGTTCAAAATTTAGAGGAAAACAAAACACTAGACGGTGGAAAAAACCATCTGCTTAAAACAATTTAAGTATTTTGAAATACAGTTTTTAATAAAACAACTGTGAGATTTACTTTTAAAAAAGGACAGTGAGATTTACTATGTTGTTCAGCTGGGTTTTCAATTTGGGGGTGCAAAGATTTATTTGAACTGCACTAAATTGCTACATTTCACTTACACAGGTCAGTTTGTTAGTCTTTATTCTGTTACTAAACACTTGAGAAAGTACACATGATTAGTGTAGTATAAAAACTCTCAAAATGGTACCAGTACTGCCCCCTGGTGGCTGTAGTGCACTTCTTCAGAGATTTAAATACATTTTACACAGAGGTTGAAGGTGCAGGTCTAGAAAGTAAAAATCCAGACCAAAATTCTGTTTCAGCCAATCAGTTGAGTACTCTGTAAATGTGACTCTTCAACTGGTTGGTTGAAACAAAACCGTGGTCTGGATTTGCACTTTCTGAACCTGAACTTTCCACCTCAGATTTTAAATGTAGGATAGCAATCAATATCATATATGCTTCTTTATTTTAATCTGCCACATTATACCCTGGGATTGTAGTGTTATTCCAATAATCTACTATGACTATCCTATGAAGTATGGAACTGCATAATTAACCACATGAAATTCTTATATCTGGCCTAATGTTTCAAAAAATTCTTTGTGCTTTCAGCCAATCAGCATTTGAGATTATGGTATTTTTATAATGTTACAGTTTAAATGAACAAGATCTTTTCATAGTAGGTTTAATAGAAAAATGCATTTTCAGTTTGTGCTGCACACTAAGGCAGTAAAATATATCACTAATGCTCAGCCTCCCCACAAAGATCTGCAGCAGTTGAATTTTTAAAAATCATGCCACTGGTGTGAGCGCCCTCTGCTGGTACATTGCAAGGATGCACACTGAGGATTAGCAAAGAGACCCCGGAGAAATAAAGCCATATGGTAAGAGGAAACGTATCCGCTGGATCCAGCTTGTGTTAATACAAAAGTGTCTTGGGTAACTGAATAGATTAACTCAATGGAACAAAAGGTCAAGCAATGTTGAAAACATATTGTAAAAATCAAAAAGGATGATGAGTAATACAGGAAAAGGTTTTTTTTTTTGTCCAATTAATTTCACGGTCTAAATCTTAGACTCAACATGAATCTATCTATTTATTATCACGTGGAGCCAAAATTCCAAAACAGACTGCATTTATATTTTACTAATTCTGTGTCCATTTCATATATTTAGTAAGAGTTACTCATTTTAAATTGAAAGATCGGTTCAATAGAGACAGACCCGAAGGTGTAGAGATCAGTGATAATTTACATTGAAGTGTCCTAAAAAATGCATGGTTGCACCCCACAGACAAGATGTCAGACTGTTAATTCAGTGCCATAAATCCTCATTTGAGGGGTTAAAGAGAGATGCTTTTCCACCACTTCAGACATTTGTTATTTTTTGACAAAGTAAAGCTCACTGTCCATCCAGCATCTTAACATATGTAAAAATGGCTGTTGCACATGTCCTGAGCACCAGGAAGGCATGAAATTTAAATGAATACAGGATGTTTATAAATACCATTTGCTGGAAAATAACAAAGACTGAAAGAATTTCCTATACAAAGCACAACAAAATAAAATAAAGATAAAAGACAGACGGCTTAAATTTAAAACAATAAAAAAAAAAATCCGAAACATAAATCTTCAGCAGGAATATAAGACATTAACAAGTAAGAATAAATGCTTAGCCACAATGTTTACAATTAGTTTATCTTTATTGTTTTGTGGAGAAAAAAAGCTGATAACCTTGGTTGTCTTGAATTGAGGGATGACTCTTGTTTGGAAAGGAAAACTTTATCCTTCTATAGTACATAAGAAAGGTTTATATCGAAGACAGTAAAATAAATGGCGCTTTTGTTCTGATTTATGAACTCTATTTTTGTGGCAACGATGACCCAATACAAAGTAAATTGGACAACTACTAACAATATAAGTTTAAACTGCAGAAAACAACTCTAGCCCATCCTGAAATATAATAAAAGTATATAATATAATAAAAGTATCTAAAGTGACTTTTTGTACTTGGATTTCAAATATTCAAACTGTCAATTTTTTTCTTTTGCTTTCTAATTATTCGATCTCTTCCACAAAGAACAAAAACATGCAACAGGGAACCGGAATCTAAATAAGGAAGTTTTCTGAAAAGTAGGAAATGTGGACGAGATAAAGCATTGGTGAAGCAGCTTCTTAGCATGCATGTAAGATGCCCTGGTGCATGCGTCACCCGTACACAAGGGGGCAGCTTGACTTTTTGGGGTGAACTTTACCCAGCAGCCCAGTGTGTGGGGGCTTCGCCAGGCTGGCAGCTGAATGTCGCGTCTCTTAATTCAGGCTTATGCCCGGCTCTCACAGATACCTCGAATCCTTATGCCTGAGAAATCCCACCCCTCAGCCCGATTCATCCCAAACTCTCTTTCCCACAGACAGGGAAGCCCGTCATATCAGCTTAAATACCCCCCCCCCCATTAATGTTAGGAAATGACACTCTGTTTCCATTTGATCTCATAATCATTCCTGCTGAAATGATAATTAGTGCCAGAGTCATCCCAGGGAAATAAAGCAAAAGAACCCCATCATTGTAGAAAATACATCTGTCATTATGAGGTATTATCTGATACATTGAGGACCAACAAGTACATTTTAAAATACCCCCCCACCCCCGAGTCTGTTGGTGGAGTCCTCTTTCTGATTCTTTTCAGCTGACATAATTCGGATTGATTCGTTCGGCAGATAAAACTAAAGCCACTTCTTCCCTTTATGGCTGGGACATAATACCGCTCTTTATTCACTAACAATGAGACATAATGGTGCTGGAATGTGCAAAATGACTGCATCTGAAATGACTGCAACGCACAAAGGGCCCAACACAAAATATGGCTGAATGTGATAAATCATTAAGCACAGATTACTAACATGTTCCTGCATCAACAAGGTCAAACCGAGGCTGCGTTCAAAAAGAAAGAAGAAGAATCTCCAGATATGTACAAGTCATCTGTGCATGAAGCAATTAAACGCTGTATTTTTCTGCCTCTCTTCCAGCTCCTTTATAAAAGAGCCTTTTGGTTTGACAACAGGAAGAGATGTGGTCAGCTGGAATTTCAGCCTGTGTGGAAATTGGGAGTCTTTTTATTTCTTTTAAACAGAGCTCATCTCAAAATGTATCTGCAGAATGAACATATCTGCCAATTATCACAGCCTTAGCATTCTCATAAAGGCCCCATCCATTAAAGGGAAGAGTCAAAGTGCATGTGTTTACGGTGTTTTTATTGCCTGTGCTTAGGTTTACCCAGCCTTACAGGTTTACCCAGGCCAACGTAGGCTAACCCAGGCTAATGCGAAAACACTTGCTCAGCTACGTATCTCAGGTTGTGTGCCCTGCAGAAGGAGATCATGATGCTGTTGTAGCTAAACCGGTAAACAGCATTTGTCCGATGTCTCCCTGACCAACAAGCAGAGATGTCTCAGCCTGAACAACGTCCCTGGTAGAAAAACAGGGGAACACTGAGGATCAGCTAATGAAAGGCCGGCTTGTGCGAGCTGCTCGTGCTAATCTCGGGCCGCTCCACTCCATGCCATATTATTCATACGTTCCACAGCTGCTGCATCTAGTTGCTAATTTTGTGTGCCGTCGGGTGGGGGGTGGCGGCTGTGCACAGCGTTCGATGTCACTGAAGCACATCCTGGGACCCCCTTTTCTCGCTGAAGCTGTCAGTCACTTTGTAGGAGAATAAAAGGTAGCAGAGCAGGTCTTTCATATCTATTATATCGGGAGCTGTCACCACAAAAAACACACTTAACGCGACTAAAAGGCGCAGAGCAGCAGACACAGATACACTCTGTCATGGTGCATTTTTTGGGGGTGCAAGGTGGGGGAGAGGATTGAGAGGACGGTCCCTTATGGTGCAGAAGTGTCTGAACAGTTGTGCTTTTGATGAGAGAGTAAAAAAAAGGAAAATGCATTGTGAACGACGTTAGATTGACAGATTTTGGATATGCGACTGTGACGTAACTTTTTCTGCGGTACAATTAGACAACGTTAAATTCTACCCACCCACTTG